GAAAGGAGCTAAAGGTGTAGGGAAGGTGTGATGGGTAGGGGAAGAGTAAAAAGGGAAAAGAAAAAAATGTGAGAGAATGAAAAGATGAAAATAAAGTGTTTGTAGATGGGGAGGGGAGGAGGGGGTGAAGGGAGGGCAGAGGTAAGGGGAAAAAATGAGAATCAAGACTTGTTATGTAAAGGTACATGATCCCAACAATGAATGTAACTGTACTGTGTCCCTAAAATGTACCAATAAACTCAATAAAATTAATAAATAAAAAAATATATATCCAGTGAACATACCAGTGGGACAAGGACTGCAGCTAAAAGTGAGTACACGAGAGGAGTCATATAGGCTGTGCCCATCATAAACTTCAGAGGGTGGGGCCTGGGGTGTAACTTAGTGGTAGAGGGCATGTGACATGCAGGCAACTGCCTGACATGACCCAGCTGCTCAGGAAGTCTGCCTACTGGGAGGGATTACTGATGAACTCTAGTGGTCCACATCAGTTATACACTGGCATTCTGGTTTTTATAGAACAATTTTATGGATCTGACTACTGTTCTTCCTGAGGGAAAATATTTCTTTGAGACAGACTCTCAAGTCGATAAATTGCCCAGCCTGGGCTCAAACTTGCAATCTTCCTGTCCCAGCCTCCCAGACTGCTGGTATTACAAGCGTGCACCACCACTCCCAGCTAGGAATCAATTTTGATTCTCCTTTTCTGTCTCACCCTCCCCATAGTCAGTGCCTCTGCAACTACAGTTAATCCTACAAACATGTCTTTAACACACCCTCTTCTTTCCATGCCCAGTCCCCAACCCCGAGCCCAGGCCACTACCATCTCTAGATTCTCTGATGGTTCCCAACTGGCCTCTGGCCCCTGTCTCTGCCCACCTCAGTCATATACTCCAAACTATTTTTCAAAAGACTTCAGGCTTTGCACATACTCTGGTCCTTTTCTTTCTCCCTCTAGTTGACTTTGGGCCACTCCATTCTTGCTCTCTACCTGGCAGCTTCCCTGTTCTTCTCTAATTTGCCAGGCTCTTTCCCATTTCCCTCTCCCCTCACCTGTTCCACTTCCTGGAGCCCACCTCACCTCACACTTCACACTTTGGCCCTTTTTATCCTTTAGTGTTCAGTTTAAATATTACCTACTCATTGAGGTCTTGTCAGCCCACATTATTTTAAATGTTCCCACCATTATTTTCTATTCTGGTTTTTTGCTTCACTATAACCTGTAATTATTTCTTCTGCTTGTTTATTTTTCTGTGTCTTGCCCCAGCTTAGAATGTAAGCTCCTTAAGGACAAGGACCTGTAATGTTCTAGTCCCTAGTGTATTCCTATACCAAGGATAGTGAATGACTTTGGATAACTCTCATTATTTCCCTTGTTTTCCTGCCTAGCATCTATTTCCTCTTCTGAAAACAGAACCTCCATTCTGTGGTAAGTTTTCCAAGGGGTAAGCACCACCTCCTGAGGCCTGCTGGGAAGACTGCCAGTGAGACAGCCTCTTAGTGGACTCATTGAGTGCCATTTCCATTAGACCCGTCTGTGACGTACCTGAGTCACTAGCTAGCCTGAGAGTCACTAGCTAGCATTTCCAGGGTAGGATGCCTGCTTTATTCATTCCCAGCATCAAGCAATGACAGCCTTGTTGGCACTCAGTGACTGTTTCCTGAAATACCAACTCCCTGCCATGCCTGGTGGCACATGCCTTAATCTCAGCACTCAGGAGGCTGAGGCAGCAGGAGAGCTAGCTGTCAGTTTGAGGCCAGCCTTGGCTACATAGTGAGTTCAAGGTCACCCTTACTACATAGCAAGACATTATCTTGGAAAAATTTTTTAAAAAGAAATACTCCAGCAACAACATTTGTTGCTAAAGTGAAGAATATAAAGTAAAACATGAGAAAAAAATACTGAAAAGGACGAACAAAGATATCATCCCCCATCCTGAAAGATTTCAATATCACTTTGATAAAAAGCACCCAGGAAATTTTGTGTGCTCTTGACACTTTTAGAAAACAGGGAGCAGAGTGCAAGCAATCCGAGTTTGGGCCTGGGAGTGGTCTGTACCAGACTTGATCCTTTTACAGGGAGAAGACCAAACTGGCTAAGGGGTACATTCATGAAAATCCTTGGGACAGAAGTGAAACTCCAGGTTTTCTGACAATCCTGAATCAATGTGTGACCCAACATCCATAGTAGGCAAAGAAAGTTTGACATCAGACAGTGGCAGCTGTGAGGAGCACCAGTGAACCTCAGTCGTGCAGCAGCACTAGCTACTGGCCTGGAGGAGGCCCAGAGAACTCTCAAGTGTCCTTGTGCACGTGCACATACCCTTAAGATGAGTTCCATTCTGTATTGTGATGACCTAAAACTTCAGAGGCAGCTGTTGCTACATTGAGGGTTAACCATCTTCACCATATTTGGCTCTTCACCTTGCTACTTTTTTTTTTGGTACCGGGGATTGAACGTGGGACCTTGCACTTGCAAGGCAAGCAGTGGAACCACTGAGCTAAATCCCCAGCCCCCACTTTGCTACTGTAAAAGGACAGATTTATGGGATTTAGCCTTGTAAGTACAAGGTCCTGATTTCAATCCCGGTACCATTAAAAAAAAAAGGATGGATTTACAGACCAAAATCACTTTTCAAATATATATTTTTAAATCCAGGCAAAGCACAGTTGAAAGTTGGAAAGAGTCTGTAGATAAATATAACTATAATTCTTTTTTTTTTTTTTTTT